GGAAACCGGCTAGAAATCAGGGGCGGAATATATTAATCTCGACTTACGCGAGGGTATTACACCCGCACACCTTTTCTCAACAAATCTGCCTTCTCTCACAAAATTCTCCAAACATTTTTATTTATTTTTGTGTGGCTTTTGTACAATTTTAATTTTAAGAAAAATATTGAATTTGGCCTAATGGGTCTTAGGTGAGAGCCCCAAAGTTTTGAAAAATAAAAAACAGCATGATCAAAGAAAGAGCTCTCGAATATATCTCTATCGAGGTATTTTGTCTCGAGAGTTCACCCTGAACCTACAAACTCGATGAATGGTACAAAATTTGAGAAATGATCCAAAATGTTTACTTGTTATTTCACAAAACATTGGATACTAGCGCTAGCACTTTCTAAAACCTCATATTCCCTGTGTTTATCACGTTGATTAAAGGAGCATTTGCTGTTTGTTCAATTTTTATTTTTTTCCTATTTTTGTCAACATGTTCATATAGCATTAATCAATATTTAAAAGGGTAGGCCTAGGACTAATTCTTTATTAAATCCTTGTCATTTTTGTTTTATTATCCAATCAAAAAATATACAAAAAGCTACTGATTGTGCCTTTACGGAACTCACAAGCCGAATCACTAGAAATCTGCAAGGACATTGAACTCTGCCGATCATAAGTATTGATAATTATGAAAAAGGGCATGCTTTCACTTTCAAGGATGAATGAACCTGTGCTTGTGGTCTGTATCTCACGGTCTGTAACACTGGGCATACCCCTAATCATAATAGACAGGGACGTGAAGTTGAAGCAACAGAACGAATGCTGGGAATTTAGTGGTATAAAAAGCGTGTGAACGTGGTCAATAGTAGCTCTTAAAAAGTGTGTCTTTTCAAAACATTCTCAAAGAATTAACCACGCTTAATCACAGGGATTATGAGCTTAATCGCAGGGATTACGCTTCTTTAGGCGAATCTAGATATTTACGCCTTTGGCGACACCTGTGTTTGTCTAATAGGTGACTTTATAATGGCAACAACTCGCAAAAACGTAGGATGTGTTTTTGAAATCACAGTTGTAAAGCTGTGCTTTTCTAGACATTATATTGCTAAATAGAATATGAATGCAACATTGAAGATCAAAGTGTTATGATTGTGTTTCTATTTTGTTTCCGACATCTTGTATCGTCAAATATTGATTTTACTGAGTCTCTATCGTGTATGCCTTCATCTTGGTATCTAATACTATCTATTCTTTAGCCCACACATAAAATACATAATGATCAATCACTTAATGACTAGAGTACGACATGACTTGGTATAGATTCAAATCCAATGTGCTGGGTTTGAAACCTAAACAGTAACTGTTTTAATTCTAGAAATAAATCTCGTTCATGAGAGGTACGTAACTTTTTGGAAATTATAACCCGAAGAAATATTTACTCCATGGGCAGTGTCAGGGATGTAAATGTTATCTTGCTCTTTGAAGTGAATTGAAACAAAGTACGTAGTAATGTATCCCTGTTTTAATTATTTTCTTACTTGAATCTTTAAAGATTTTATTCAATTTGATATCTGAAAAGAACTCATATTGCAATTTGAAACAACTAGCCAGATACTGATTTGATTAACGTATATATCCATTTCTATCGATGGTACTTTTTTTTTAAAAAATAGTTTAAAAATTCCGTTTGATAACGACCATACAGCCAGATTTTTTAATGGGAAAGTGCTCGTTATAATTTCGTATTCAGTTTCATGTGAAATGTACCGTGCATGATTTCTTGAAATAACACTGTCACACGTTACGTTATCCAGATCAAACCTGCTGAAGTAAAAACTCCTTGAAAAGTGTCATGGATAAACTTGAGATATTCGCAACGTTCGTATTTTTGGTGGTTTGAAAAGTTAGCTTCTTATTCTGGGATACTTTTGCATCATTGTGTTTGCAAATATTTTTGTGTCCCGTTGCGGCAATCTGTTATCGTAGATTATCGTTAACAGTTGATTGCCGAACTGGGATTCTGACACTGCCCCTAACCCCTGAACCCCATCTCAATCATTCCCTGCTCTCATTATCATCTGCAAAAGGGAGTATTCTGAGATACACGATAACAGTCACAATACAATGCATTTCCCCACCACCAAGGTTCTCTTAGAACAAAATAGTGTCATACTTTGAAAGTTCTTTTGTTTATTTTTATGATAAATGGATTTCTAAATAGACATATTCAGCAATGTATTGTTTGAGACTCAAAGAACCCAAACAGTCTGTCTAAGATTGAAGACGTATCGGGTCAAAAAATTAACGTCATTAAAACCATCTTGCAGAGGAATATGAAATGTGTTATTTCAATTATATAATTTCGTGTTCGGAATAGTTGATAGACGTGTAAGTGTACGTAATAGTGGGTGTTCCAAACAACGGAACTGCAGAAGGAATGAAACTAAGTTCTAACAAGGCATTATGCATAATGTCATCACACCTACCATTTGTTACAGGCGCCGACCGCCGAACGCCAACCGCCGAACACCACGCCACAAATAAAGTTGAAGACCTATGTAGTAAAATGTCACGACTGACACTTTTGATGGTGACATAAAAATAAAATGACAGTCTTGTATGATTGAAACGTAGCCCGAAACGTGGTAGCAGCAAACCGTTGGATGAACCTAGCAGCAAACATAAAATAAGGACGTCAAAATGTTCTATAAAAACAAAGAACGTATGATGATCATTTTTAGATTCTTTAGTTATATTTAGATTGAGCAATAAATGATAAATGTCAACATGCATGATCTTGATGAAAGTCCTGCCCTGTTGGTGATACGTATCGCATCTCCTTCCTTGCACATGTAATCTAAAATGCTCCCCTCCATGCCATTGTGAATGAATGATTGACCCGACAATGACAAGGGAACAGTTTGACCACCCTCGTGTAAACTACTCATCTTTCCCTTGGAATTAAAGGGCCCTAATTTTATCACAATCAATCATGAAATCTTGACATTGCAGACAATGAAGAAATCATTGAATTGACTGTGTCAGTCGAAGAACCAAATCACACAATACTGTTACTTAATGCTGGAAATTCTATAGAATTAAGATCATATAAAATTAGATGAATACTTCAAAGTGTAAACCATATCTTTGGAAATTATAAGTCGTTTAAGAAAACAAGATGAATGGCGCAGTTGACCACATCACGAAATAGAAGATAAAAATATCGTGCAATTATAATGAAAGCCATTTTCCATTCAAGTGAAAGAATAAAAATGGTGGTGTGGTTGCGATGAGTAGCCCGTAACCGGAATTACGAGGATTATCGCAAGCTACTGAATGAATGATTGTTTTTATCTTCTGTCTGTGTTTAGTCTTCATTAGCAAGATTAGACCCATTAGGTGCTACGATATGAGTTTATAATAGAACAGGGATGACATTTCATTATAGCCTTTAAATCAAACAATTTATCAATTTCAGGTTCTTCCACAAATGACCGTTGAATGTCATCAAAGAGCGGAACTTGTCTCACAAACTATTTATAGCTCGTTTATCTGGCGCATGGGGGCTCAACGTTGTGAAATGCTATAATGTCAAAAAGCCCATCAATTTATATGCATAAGGTCAATATTTGAGAGGTTATGCCATGCACATGTTTTAAGACAAAACGTGTAGCTTACGTGAATGTGTAGAATTATATGGTCCTCAGGGAATCCCATTCTCAGTATTAACTTGTCTTGAGTATAAAGGTTTACAATGGAAAACAATTGTAATAAGGTCCCTGAAAACCAGAGCTCAATTGAGAGGGAGACATTAATCCCTTTGGCTCAAAATGTTACACGCTCACGAACACGTTCTCTTAAAACGCAGCTTAGTCCCCTATTAACTTAGTAAGTCATGATGTGCTCGAAAATAAATAAAATAAAAACTTGGACAAATGTGACAACATCTTCCGATCACAGGGCTTCAAAATCCAGAATATATATTCTTTCTTTTTACGGGGGGAAGGAGGAGGTACGGATTCTGGATACTAATTAGGAGGAGGATGTGACAAGGAAACGCAATGTTTGACAACGCTTGTCAAACTTTGTTTCCTAGTTATTTTAGCTTGCTTGAAAGGCACAGTGGCCATGATGAAAGAAGTCAAAAAATGAGCTCAGTGAGCTGCAATTTTATATTTCATTTTTGTCAGCTACTTCGGTTTTCCCCAATACCATACATGTTTATGTTCCCTTTTTATAGATATGCCTTATTTGTGCTCCAATTAATTGTAATGGTATTGATATTGAAATAAATTGTTCAATATGCAAATATGCCCCTCACTTTTGAAACTTGAATGATTTTGTGTGGTCATGGGGCAAGAAGGGCCCCCGTGAGGCAAGAAAGGCCGTATTAGAAACCTTTGAATTGTAGGTTTTACCTTCGGTTACAGAAGTGGGACAAAAAGGGCCACTTTTTGGGGAAAGTGCAGCCGATTGAATCTGGCGCCTATTTGAAACAAAATGAGCGGGGAATAAGGTCGTTGGCATGATGATCCCATCTCGGAATAATATCAGGCGATACCTTAAAACAATAAAATAAACTTGGTGGTCCGTCTTGCCCCGCAGCGGCCCTTCTTACCCCGCCGCGGCTGTCCCCTAATGTCTCGTTTTGCCTACCCCCATAAATCACGGTGGGGTCGAATTGGCGTTTTTTCTGATATTTTATCATTCTTGTGGAGAATTGGCACTAGAATATTAAAAAAATTAAAAAAACGCCAATTCGACCCCACCGTGATTTATGGGGGTAGTTTTGCCCCTGGGTCTTTCCATATTTGTAAACAATATCAAAAACTAGCAGAAAAATGCTCTGGTAGCCAGCCCTAAGGGTAATACAACCATAGTATATAGTGAGCCTGGGGATCGTCAGATTATAAAAGAATGAGGCCAACGCTCGACCTTTTTTCAACACTTCAGTTTCGGTTTCGATTTTTAAGAGCTCTTCATAGCTCTTCTGAAAGGAGTTAATTTTGTACCGGAAGTAAAAAAGTAACGTGGAAATATTTTTTGACACTGAAATAGCTGTTTTGAACCTTTTCAGAATGTCTTCATTCAAAAATGCAGCTAAAAGTCGACAACATGTGCACAGGGAACGGCCTCAGGTATGGAGTATTTACATATGTTAGATAAAGAACCGTTGAAGTCAGAAATTAAAATTTTAAAATATTACATTTTTTCACTCACTGACTTTTTTGATTTCATTTCGCAACCTAGATTATAATCTTTCACAATCGCATGTTTATTCACGCTGAGGCTTTGATGATAATTCTATGTGCTAGACTATCATATCTCTGACATATTTTCATAAAATCCCATCACTTTCACTAGAGTCCATTTCACTGCTTCATTGCGTCAGTAGAACGGCAAAAATAAGAAATTGTGCAATAATATATGGAAAAGTATATTCATAATATACATGAATGACATTTGTATATTTCAGATTTTTTAGTTTTTTTGTGCAATAAGCCTGTGCCATCTTGTAATTTGAAGAATTTCAGCCATGCTAATTTTATTGAAAATAACATGGCAGAGAAGCATCCAAATAGGCCACACACTTTATAAGCCAAACTAGAAGCAATCCAAGATATACAAATGTCATTCATGTACAATAGGAATATATTTTCCATATATTATTGCAAAATGATATTTTGATTTCTTATTTTTTAGCTTTTACTGACGCAGTTAAACAGTGAAATGGACTCTAGACTTTATCAATAGGCAGGCAGGAGGCAATGTGGTCCATCTAGGTTATTGTCGGACTAATGGCTCCATTGAATGTGACTTGTCCGCAAAATACCTAGATGATTTCAATAGGAAATCCTTGTTTTTGAGATGACTTTGCCTTTCTAACTTCCCATCTAAGACCTAATATATTACCAACATTGATGATCTCTATTATTTTGTAATGAGGTCGTAGATCATCACTTTCCACGCTCTGATATATTCATACACATAGACATGAATTACTAGTAAAATTTACCACTTATATGTACCTTCTATCACCAAATATTTCATATCTTATTGATTGGACGATTCTAGAAAGTATCAGGGAACTTGTGTGATTCATATTATGTTTGGCTAAGCAACAAATGTGTTGCCTCTTGTATGCACTTCTATCACGTTAGTTTTGAAACATGGTCTCAAATTTAAGATGCCCGGAACCCTCAAAATAACATGAGGGTACAGCTTTACCTTTAGCATGGTGCCTTATCTTAAAGCATATTTTTATCCTACGTGACTGACTTATTTTTCAAAGAGTGCAAAAAATGATATGCCTTGATTAAATAATTAATATCTCAATAACTACTGAATGAATCTGGATAAAATTTTCACAAAGGGAAGATACACTGGCCTGGCTCATGAAAAAAATGTTCTCATGAATTTTTTCGTACATAAACACGACTGGGCATAAATATACCATGAATACCTTTTATATGATTTACCTTTTAAAATAGTATGTATCTTTTTCAGCTTGAAAGTCGCAAACATCTTGGTCATTTGGAGAGGAAGAAAGACTACAAGCTTAGAGCAGAGTAAGATATTTATAGGATATCCTTTGATTTTGAGGAATATCATTTTTATCTTCGAGGTGATATTGATATCTGCACAAGAGAGTGAAGCGAACGAGTGCATATATCAATATCACAGAGTAGATTAAAATGATATTCTGAAAAAATCATAGGATGTTCTTATTATCCTACACTTACTAGTAGTGTACAAATTGGTATAATATGATTGAAAAATAAAATGTATGGAGTTCAAATAGTTAAATTTCGCGGGAAATCAACAAGCGATGTATATCGTCAAAATGTCTTCCGCATATTGCTTTTCCGGAGTATATCGTCACGACCATTCAGATATCTACAATATTCTTTATTTAGAAGATATTCTTTTAATTTCTTGTTCTTTTTGGTCCATGCCAACAGAAATCCCGTAGATGTTAGGAAATGATGGCTTAGAAATATCTGATAGTGCCATCTATCCCTTGAAAATCTATGAGTGAAATGACAGAGTATCTGATTTGGGAAATTCGGGGCCCTGCAATGTGGAGGTTACTAGGGGACCCACGGTACATTATCTTTAAATTCGATATGAGCAACGGTATTTATCTCACATAGCGATACAAACGATACCAGCAATTTAACAGCGTAACAAATATTTTTATTTTTTAAAAATATATGGGTAAACAAGACATTAGAATGCCAAATGTACCAACCACCAAATTTCGAACTCATGGAACAGTATGAAACTACAGTATTAATGTCCTCATTTAACACTATTGTCCACTATTGTCCGGTGTCCATCCATGATTTATATTTTCATTTCACAAGTTTTTTCATTAAACAAAACCTGATATCCTATACTGGAGGTACATTCTATGCCAGATTACACAGGGAAAATAATAAAATGGGTTCTTTCTGTTTTGGGAGTTTAAAAACGATACAGAAATTTAACTGATATTCAAGTTGAGTATCGATATGCTCGTATCGTTCCTCGAGCAATCGCAAGACCCCTAGATGTTACCCTATGTTCACATTCACGTAAATGATGGGTTTCGAGGTATATGTGGGTCAATGGAATTGTAATATTGAGATAAAGGATATTGCAGTCTAGGAATCTGTGGCATGTCCATTTGGATATTGCAGTTTAGGAATTTTTGGTATGACCATTCGGATATTGGAGTTTAAGAATCTGGTATGGACATTTGGATATTGCAGTTTAGGAGTCTTTGGAATGGCCAATCGGATATTGCAGTTTAGAAATCTTTGATGCTATTTGGACATTGCTGTTAAAAAATCTATGGTATCGTCATTTGAATCTTTGGTGTGGGTATTTGGATATTGCAGTTTAGGAATCCTTGGTATTGTTGTTGGATATTGCAGTTTAGGAATCTTTTATATGGGCATTTGGATATTGCAGTTTAGGAATCTTTGGTATGGGCATTTGAATATTGCAGTTTAGTAATCTTTGGTATGGCAATTTTGATATTGCAGTTCAGTAATCTTTGGTATGACCATTCAGATATTGCAGTTTATGAAACTTTAGTATGACCATTTGGATATTGCAGTTGAAGGAATCTTTAGTATGGTCATTTGGATATTGCAGTTTAGGAATATTTGATATTGCCATTTTGATATTTCAGTTTTGGAAATTTTGGTATTGCCACTTGAATATTACAGTTTAAGAATCTTAGGTATGGGCATTTGGATATTGCAGTTTAGTAATCCTTGGAATAGTTGTTGAATATTGCAGTTTAGGAATCTTTGGTATGGGCATTTGGATATTGCAGTTTAGTAATCTTTGGTATGACCATATGGAAATCCCAATTTCAAACCGTCTACCTACTCTTAGCAACACCTGAATTGGAAAGAAAAAACCAAAATAGTCTACTTAACTTGTAATTAATTCAATCCATAACTTCCATAAAAAGATCAGCTTTATCTATCCTTTGATGCCTTTATAGATTATTCTTTACTTAGCTATGATGTGTCACGCCCATCCATAAACTGACCTGACATCAAGCAGAAAATCACGAAATCAAGGTTCAACGCCCTGGAATTACGGAAAAACAATCACAAATACATGCTTACAATGCTATAATACATCAAGAAACCCGAGAACATTGTCATATTGTGTTTGAGTTTCAGAAAATTTATATGAAGCACACATTACGAGGGAATGAGTTCTAACCAGGGTGGTGCTATTTGTTTTGCATTCATCGTCATTAATTACTCCTCAGCAGTTGTGTACAACATATGTCAATTTGTTTGGAATACTTTTATAGCCATTTATGGAAATTAATATTAAGCTGTCCAAGTAAAACCTGCGTTTTCAGATTGTAAAAGCTATGGAATAAATCAAGTTGGCTTTTATAGGGATTAGTGAAATGACAGTTTAAATTGATGAACATTTACAATCAGAACATTTGATTTTTTTAATGAAATAAGTGTATAGCTTTGTACATACATGTTGTGTTCTTGGTAATTGCATTTTATTAGAAAGATTGTTCCAAGAATGTGAATAAGTGTATGTACAGTATAGCTTTGTACATACATGTTGTGTTCTTGGTAATTGCATTTTATTAGAAAGATTGTTCCAGGAATGTGAATAAGTGTCAGTATAGCTTTGTACATACATGTTGTGTTCTTGGTAATTGCATTTTATTAGAAAGATTGTTCCAGGAATGTGAATAAGTGTATGAACAGTATAGCTTTGTACATACATGTTGTGTTCTTGGTGATTGCATTTTATTAGAAAGATTGTTCCAAGAATGTGAATAAGTGTATGTACAGTATAGCTTTGTACATACATGTTGTGATCTTGGTAATTGCATTTTATTAAAAAGATTGTTCCAGGAATGTGAATAAGTGTATGTACAGTATAGCCTTGTACATACATGTTGTGATCTTGGTAATTGCATTTTATTAGAAAGATTGTTCCAGGAATGTGAATAAGTGTATGTACAGTATAGCTTTGTACATACATGTTGTGTTCTTGGTAATTGCATTTTATTAGAAAGATTGTTCCAGGAATGTGAATAAGTATATGTACAGTATAGCTTCGTACATACATGTTGTGATCTTGATAATTGCATTTTATTATTCCATTGTAAGGATTGTTTCTGATGTATTGGTGAAATCTCTGATGTCTTACCCTTTTAAAAGTGTCAAGTTTTGTCTCCTGCTCTTCATATAACTGACAAACCTTGGTGTTGTTCTTGGTTATTGCATTTTATTATTCCATCGTAAGGGTTGTTTCTGAAGTGTTGACTCTGTGCCTCATGTCATACTGTTGAACATTTTCACATACAATGTATAAGCCATTAGATTCTGTGATGTCCCTGTTCTGATGTTCCTCTCGTAGATAGTAGATGGTAGAACAATAGCACAGAAATCGAGGGCCGTGGGTTCGATTCCTACTGGGGTCTTTTTCACATCAGCCCTTAGCACAGGATTTGATTATGTGTTTTCATTAGCCAATATGATATAATGTTAATCGTAAAATCGTATTATACTATGCATGGAATTCAAAATATTCTAACAAAAGGCCGTTCAAAAACATCTTTCACAGTTGATTGAAAAAATTAATTTTGCTGATTTGGGGAATTTAGACTAGCATAATAGTCGCAAAGTGGTTTAAACTTTGCAGAGGTCCTTCCAGTATGTACATTTATTGTGTTATTAGCAGCATTTGCTTAAATTACAAACATTCCAATTTTTTAACTCTCTCAAGGCACCCATTATATCAATTAAGCAGTGTTAATACTGTTTGTGTAGAGATAGATAAATTGCTTTGGACCTATTCCATTTTCACAATTGAACAATTAAGAGAATATTCAGCCAGTTCTGTGGCAGTAAATAGTAATCATTTCAATAGACTTGGGTTCACTTTATCTATAAACTGCGTCCTGAAACTCTTGTTTTCCACCAAATCTCTTATTCATGTTAATTTTTCCAGCCAGGCCCTTAGTTGGCTTTTGCCAAGGGGAGGGGGGGGGGTCACTTTTCAAAAAATCAAGAGGGGTCACATTTGACAACCTTGGCCCAAAATCACTTGAAAAGTGCTCAAAATGGTGAAAAACTGCATGATTTTGAAATAATTTTTGTCCAGGAGGGGGTTCGCCTGTTTGTAAACCTTCTATGTACTTGTTCATTGTCGATGTTCTCCATTATTTAGTATTGGTGAGTCATCCGAACACTCTGGTACAAATTTTACACCACTTTTATAATATCATAATTATTTTACATGGAAAACCTGACCTTACCACTCTGTTTTAATGGTAATTCTGATCAATTTTCCACCACTCATTTTGAGAAAATGATATTGAACCTTGATTGTTTACATTTGCTCTGCTCTTTTCAAAAATTAATAAACAAACATGTTTCAATAAAATGCTTGACTGAAAAAATCAAGTTTAAAAATCTGGCAAAAATTAAATTTTCTTCAAAATTAAACACCAAAAATAGAATCTGAAAAATACGCTGTTTGACACAAATGCTCAAAGTCCTTAATAATGATTAAAATCTAATTAAATAATCATTAAGAATTATTTAATTGATTTGTGTATATAAATTGTAACTTGGGAAAATGTTCAGTAGCAAGCCAGGTGGTTGAAAATCCTAGCATATCCTTTCTATATGTTGACATTCTCTCAAGCGCTACTCTTAACAACTTAACAAATATTGAACTACACATGTTAACAGAGCGGCTCCCGGTATTATGCAATTAGCCCTTTTCAATAATTAATATACTGTGCATTGTTATAAAACCAATGATGAAGATCATTTTTTACCATGCTTCATCAGTAAATTTATAATAAATAATCAGAATGTGATATGCTGTAATATTTACCAAAAGGGGATAAAAATATTGAATTGTTGGACATTTTTATCATACGCAGAATTGTGATGGATAAATGTGATTTGAATATTTGATTGTATTTGAGTTTAGTTTCACTTCTTGAGGAGTTTGTTGTATATGTTAATAAGTAGAAATTAGCATAGGATCAGTAGCTATCGAAGAAATCGATCTA